GATAAGCTGGAAGATCTCGTTCATCTACGGTTTGGACTTCTTTTTATGGGTCCGCTGCTACGGTTGCCTTTCCCGTTTCAGAAGCAGTGCGTCTGTGTGAGGGACTATTAGCCAGTACGCCAATGAGGAGCGGAGCACCGATGCGCCAATGAGAGGGGAGTAGGGCGGTACCAAACAGTTCCGCCCCCTATTTCTACTGCGATTTCTTTCTTAGGCTTTGAACTCCTCAGCAATAGTTGAGAAAATTATTGAAAAAGAAGTTCGCGCAAGTACCTATCGAATGGGGACACCACAGAAGGTTCTTCACCAAAGCTTGCACTTTTCAAAGGCACTTCCGCAATAACTCGACGAGCGGACACTAACAGCCATAATGACTGTTCTGATTTCCTCACTGGTCGCCCCTTTTTTTCAAATGTGAACAGAAAGGAAGCAGCATCAAGGGAGGAGTAATTCTTGTGGCTCTTCGCTCAGCTCTCCGACCGATTATTGCGAAGTGTGTCCTGAACGAGTGTACTGGATCTCTTCCGTATGAGTTGTAGCAGGGAGTGTTATCCTCTGGGGAAAGACTCTTATGACCACTAACTATAAGGCACCCAAGAACATTATATTCTGCTTTCAGTACTTCGGTATCGATGAGACATCTAAATGCTCTTGCAGTTCCCAAAGAAGAAGCCCCATGTCATCTTAATGCTGGGTAAAATGACTTCAATGTTATTGGTGAAATCGCAATGGAAATGAGTAATGAACCCACGTTGGTTTTGAAGTCATTAGGTGTAGGAAGGCCCTCTCGGTTGATGGCAACTGTTCCATTTGAGAAACGGGTACAGCTGAAACAAATTCTCTGAGAAATATTCACAATCATAATGCCAAACTCTAATTGAAAGGCAATCTTGTCCTCAACATTTCTCATAAATGTAACGTTGGACTTTTCATCAAAATCACATATGAAAAATTTGAAAACGAGTCAATTTAGGCTTTTTTGTTCATAAGTGCTAAAGTGATTTAGGAACAAGTGGTACCATTTATGCCTCTCACGACATGGGCTAAAGGCCTGGATCGAATCCCACCCAGACAAGCCAAGGTTTTTTTCTGAAAAACGGGAAATTCAGGTCAAATTTCATTCGTCGTTTGGAGCAAAAAGACTTCTACATAGGGTGGACCCGCAAGTCGTTTCGCAGGTCGAATTACATCATTACGTACACTCGAAACCCCTGAGATGTGGTAGGCGTGGCTGCGTACTTCGATTAAACGTGGGTGTGGCTGTGCTCTTGGAGAAATATTTTCATTTTGACATATCTGTCTGTCGAACAAGATCGGAAAAGAGACTGTCACATACTTATTATCCCCCGAAATAACCCATCTGTGCATTTCTAAAGCCACGCCTACTCCCGTCTTATGATAAAGGAGGTGCGGGCTTAGCGTAGAATCAACCATTCTAAAGTCGCATTCATCTGAGCGTCAAAGAAATAAGGGGTTCACCGCAAAAAAAACCGAATTCACGCCAACACATCCCTGGCATGAGTGGGAGCGCCCAACGTCATAGCTTGTTTGCACTCATGACATCTGCTCATACTCTCTCCCCCAAAATATGTATACTAAAGTAAAACTAATTGACATACGTGTACTTGATTCCCGATAGGACTAGATGTTGATTGATAGGAACGGGGATTCCGGCGTCTGTCAAGCATTCTGTGATACGAGCTCCTGATTCTGTGCACGTCTTATGGAAGTTGTGTTGTGACACCCATACTTCGCCTGAAAATTATAGCGCTTCTATTTCATTCCACCGACAAGAAGACAAATTTTCAGCGCTGTTCGACTCTTACTGCTTTACTTTTTGAATTGCGGCTAGGTTTCAAAAGAAATCTTTTTTGCGGGGATTTCGCTAAAATTCTGTCATTAGGTTTAATTTGACCGTTAAAACAGGAATATCACAACAGCTTGGCGCGGATATGCTTGGCAAATGCGCGAGGCGGGCCAGAACGCGTTAATTCCTCAACCCAGCACAAAATTCGTCCATAGAAAGCTGGGCCCCCATGTAGACGAATATCGCTCCCGCTTGGCGCAACGGCCACTCTTATGTGTTCCACGGTGCGGCTACCACTACTACTCCGATTTCTGGGATCTTATCCAAGTGTCCTTGACCGTCCCCTCAAAAATCTGCGCTCAGAATCTGTACTACGAGCGTTGTCGCCGAAAGTAGTCTGCACTGCCATGGTCTGCAGCGCGGTCGCCAAGGGCTTTCGCCTTTCGCAGATGTGATATGCCTGTTCAGGCTGCTCAAACGACTCGTAGTCTGGTAGGAATTCGAGCAGTTAAGCAATAGAAATTTTAATGATGCCAGATGTAATAAAGAGACTGAGAACTAACCAATAGCATGACCCTCGCAGCTGACTTGCTTCTTGCTCACTTGGTAGGTTCTTTTGATCTCGACTCGACCATCCCTTTTCGCGACGCATTCGTAGGTCTAAAATCTTCTTTATTATGTCTTAAAATGTTCTTTACTGGTTGGTCTAATCTACAAAGACAACAAGAGCTTTCAGAATCTGATGCGTAAGGAATGACCTTAGCTCCCCAACCCACAAGCTCCATCTCGAACGTCGAACCCCCACCACCCCACGAACTACACCCACCTCACAAGCTCAGCCCCACGACGGGCGTGAATCACGACCCCTGTTCGGTCATATGTATGATAATAAAAATATTAGGAACTGCATAAAAGTCTGTGAGCTTCGCGAAACAAGCTGCTCGAATTTCGTGGAGGGTAACATCAGGGAGATTTTCAACGGGAGAGTCCAAAATACTGTACACAGAGCCCCCAGCTAAATATGACCTTTGACTCTTTTTTCTCTGAATTTTTTTTCTGACGGAGCGGTTTCTAGTGTTTGTAAAGACACTGAAAAGTGAACGACCTTATCAAAAGTGCAAGCGGCCTGCAGACAAGATTAAGGGGATGTGGCATGCAATCAGAAAAAAACAGGCCTTCAAAAACATGTCCGCGGACCGTTTGCACTTTCTAAGGGGTCCTCCAATTTCTGGGGTCTTATCCAAGTATTCTGGACCGTCCCCTCAAGAATCTGCGCTCAGATGGGTGCTCTGTGTACAAGGTTTTGAACTCACTCATTAAAACTGCCTCTCAAAGGCAGCTGGCACGATAAATCCCAAAAGAGTAGGATTAGTACGAGTGGTAGTGCGGATTTCCGCGACCCTGACTAGGCGCTGCATAGCGGTTTTCCGAGGAAGGTACTCTTATAAGGGTCCTATCAAGCTACAACATTCCGACCCAAACGCCCGCCACGCCCGCCCGCCCACAAATGGACGACCTTACCAGATGCTCGTTTTGCTTCATTTGCTGAGTAAAACATGAAGCGAAGGATTAGTATGAAGTGTACATAAAGGCAGGTCGTACCTGCTGGAGCGGTTATTTGCAACACGCCTACGGGAAACTCGTCCGAAATTGCTTCTCAAGAACGAAGGCTTTTCTTCGCAGTTTTTGACCGTTTCACTTCGTTTTTTCGCCATTTTCCACTAGATAGCGCCCTGCTAGCATTTTAGGCTGAGTACCAAACTTATCGTGCCAACTGCCTTTAAGTACCTCCATGAAACTTCGGTTATGCACACAACACTCCCGTTAACACCCGGGGGCCGGGGGTGTAGGATTGTGGAGCACCCGGGAGTCGGCTCGAAGATATAAGTAAGATGGAACCGTCTATGAGTAATCTGTCCTGCCGTGCGGAATGCCGCGCACGGTTGTAGACCCTTGCCCCTACGCAATTACTTTGAAGAAGTGAGCTAAGAAACTGCTATTTTCTGCCGTATCCCTGAAATCGTTCCTCCTCAGAACGCACCCTTCCGAGCGTGTATGCGGACGATTCCTCAAAAGTTCGACAAATCGCCCAATGAGAAAAGTTTGCCATCCTGGTGCTTAGAGGATACGTAGCTTCCTTCTTCACGAAAACAGCTACAAAGGCAGGGCATCGATGGGATGGAATTCCGATAAATCTTTACCGAGTCACAATTACCCAGCGTCCTATGGTAAGTAGTAGAGACTCGAAAGAGTCCCCAGCTCTTGTTTCTTCCGAGCCTAACCTTATCGAAGTTCAGCTCACCGTGTCTCCTTCAGAGATGGTCCGTCCTGGCTGTACAACCACTCCATTACTTGTTCGGCAACCGATCACTTTGGTGTTCCACGATCCGTCTCTATTAAGGTTGCCAACTGCGCGGGGTGACAAACGCTGCATCGGACACACCTGAAGAATTTGATTTTCATTTTTCATGAATTTTACTTTTTTTGCCCTTTTGAAGGACAGGGCTCCACAGCTATGTACGCCATTCAGGAAGGTCACTTCTATGTTTTACAATTACACATAAAGTGCCAACCAAGAGAACTTCCAAGGTATCATGAATGATGGCTGACGAAAGAGAAGTTGAAACACAAAAGATCACGTGCACTTACCCAAGTATCGCCGTTTTTGTATTTCTCGTTCTTGTACAGGCATGCTATGGTCACGGCGAAAAGCGCTGTCAACACTGCCAGAAAACGCATTCTGAAAACATCTCAAATGACATCACAAGAGAAATCGCAAGAGTTCTTCGAAAAACGAACGGCGGTCAAACAGTGATAAGTACTGCTGGTTAAAGAACGATTGGTAAGCAATCCATTAAGGGCAGGCCCCGCGCTCGAGTAATTCGTAGGCGTCCCTCCTTGTACAGAATGTCTGGCCCTCAGTCTTTAAGGCTGTCACAATTTCGCATGAAGCACCGAAACCGTTTGTGTCCTCATAAGTGGCAGTTCTGAGGCCTCCGTAGTTGCCCAGCCCGCCAAAAGTCAACAGGCTACTTTCTGTCACGAGTTCAATTTTTACACCATGTTTTTCGTTTCTTCTCCTTTAGCTGGTATTAGCACTGGATGACGCGAAGAACGATGTAAGCCAGAGGCACTAGGATCTCGTTTTGATGGCATAAACGGACAACTCGTACAGTGAGGCTTCGGCGAGCCCTTAATGTGTTCTCCACATTTTTTTGCTTTTTTAATTCCTTGGAGAGGCAATCTAGCGACCATGGATTTGAAACTGAACGCCACGATCCACAACCTTCAGTTGCGGGGTCTTTTAAAGGCGTAGGGCACGATAGTATGTTAGTCGTTCTAAAAGGTAGCAGGAATGCATTATAGCGGGGAAACGACAAAAATGCAAAGAGAAACGGTCAGAAACTTTAAAAATCTCATTTGTCAAACGACTCCGAAAGCAATTTCGGACGAGTTTCCTCTTCGCCGCTACGGTAGATAAATACTATTGTATGGGTATACTCATATCACCGCACCCAATCCCTTCGCTTCATATGTACTTCGCAAATGAAGCGATACGAGCATCAGCATCGGTCGGACATTTGTGGGCGGGCGGGCGCGGTGGGCGTCTGGGTCGCAGCTTGATAGAGCGCTATGACTGTACCTTCCTTGGAAGGCGCATCGCAGCGCAACTCAGGAGTGACCGAATCTTGTACTGTTAGGCGTATTAATCCTACATGTCTTGGGGATTTCTCGTGCCACCTGCCTTTAACGGAGGTTTCCGATAATCTAGGAGCAGGGACATTCAAAGGGCTCCTCGGTGCAAAGCTGGAAGCAACGTCTTTCAATTAGCACTGTGTTCGGTATTGATTTACCGATCCTGGAGTTCTTTTTCCCTTAGGTTCTGATAGAAGCCCTCATCCGCAGTACGGCAATGCCAATTTCGCATAAGAAAACATTCAAGCAGGCCCCCATCCCCCTCCCCCCCAGGGTGATAAGCACCCGCGCTACTTTTCGCAGCAACTTCGGCAACATGAGTCAGCTTACTCTTACCCTTTCCCGTCAAATCAATCCAGCTGCTAGTGCGAAGCAATGAGCACGCGATACCTCCTGGACTCGGTGTCCTGACTAGCACGTTTTTGCTCAAATGATGCAGGATTCCCTAGGAGTACAAAACATCTGATCTATACATTTGCCATTTGTAGGCCATAGTATTTGCCAGTAAGTAAGCACAATAACTATACGTGAACGCCGAGTGTGTGGCGTGTTCTAAAACTCGTTCCTACATTTGACGGTGGTTTAGTGGCAAGGTGGGGAAGGGCACTCCACTCACGCACGGGGGACAGACTCGGGAGCAACAAAAGGCACCATGTGCCTCAAAAGGGTCAGTCTAAAGTTTTGCATAGCCTAAATGGTAGCCTGCAATTTGAGAAGGGAGAAATCTGTACTAGCGTGAGTGAGCCACTTGGCACATCCCGATTTCTCACAAACGATAGGAAGGTCGCCCACTCCGAATGTCGTCTCCTTTAAAACAGTAGACTGCGGCATTG